ACAAATTGTTTGCTCTCTGTTATATAAGCAGAATTTTTTCCCCTATGCCAATTATTTGTCCATAAGTCAAATAAAATGACAGAACACGGCAATAACAGACACCTGCTGCTCTGTCTGGTTTCATTCTTCAGCTAATATCAGCTTCCTTTTAGGCAAGATAATTGCTTAATCACTGACTAAAACAGATAGTGAACCAGTAGAAGAGTATCAACAGGTAAGACAAAGGATTTCTATTAGGAAATATATATTCTTAATCTTCTTAGTGTCTTCTCTAGCAAAAAGGAAGAGTGCAAGGAGGGTAACTAGAAAGTAGCACAACAGAATAAGTTGCGTACACTATTCCACCACAGACAAAAAAATAATGCTACGGAAATAATGAAAGCCGCCAGAGGGCCTGAAATGTCTTGATAGATGGACACGAAAAATTAGGCAGCAGAGCAGCATCTTGTCCTGTTCCCTATGGTCTGATTATGGGATTTGCCATGTTGCCATGTCGAGATACGGACCCTTACCACCCTTCCGGCTTTCCGCAAAGCTACTAAGACCTGGCTGTTCCGGCAGGCCTAGGGCTGTTGTATCTTCCAGTCCCATCCGAGGTACGAATGTTGCTGTATTTTTAAATTGTTTCTCTTTTATTTTTATTTTGTACCCCCCTCCCCCTCAGATTGTTAGCCGCCCTGAGTCTCTCGGGAATAGGGCGGCATACAAATTAAATAAACCTTAACCTTAACCTGTTGACTATTTCCAATCACCCAGTGGTTCCTACCTGTCTTTGCCTGCTTTTTATTTTTCTCAAGAAAAATAACTGACAAGGTACAACATTTCTCAAACTGTTCCAAGCTGGAATGAACAACTCCAATGAATGAATTAAAAAAATACTATTCAATAAGCAGTGCTGTTGATGTATACTTATTATACATTGCCCTGATTCCTCAGCATGAAATAGTGGCATTGAAACTCAAGATTACAAATCATTTAAAACTTCTCACAAAATTTATAATTTTCCCCATCTGCTGGTTTGTTGATTTTTACAAAATAGAATATATATTTGCATGCTATGTTTCAACTAAATTCCCAGAGGAATTTAGTACATGCTATTAAAATACAAACAAAATTTTTTAGTGTCTTCATATAATATCCAAAACAGCAGAATAATTGCACATTCCATATTTGTTTTTCTCGGTATTAATCTTTTGGATTAGAATGGTCCTTCATTATCAACAGGAAGTATTTTATACAAAGCAGTTTGCCAGTTTTATTCTGCAATCATATATTTAAATGACTCCCAAAATGGGCAATATTTTGCAAACTGTGTTCTGTGAAACGAGTTACACAATAATATGATGGGTTAGGGTGGTGGGATCTATAATAGCAAGATAGAGCGCACAAAAAAATCCACAGAACAAAATCTATGGCCGGAAAAAAATTGAAAATATCTGGTTTATGGATCCCTGTACCTGAAAGTGTTTCGCCTCGTTGTAAGACTTCTTCAATGTTGGCTACCATGATTCTTTGTACATCTTGTAACTCTGTATTAATAGATCCAAGGTTTCTTCTTGCACGGCTATCTATATACAGCTTCTTTGTTTTCTGAATATAAGTATCTGGAATAAAAAGTAATTGTTCATGTAAGAGTATTCTCTTTCAAAATTCTAAATCAATTTGTATTCTCAAATCATGCCATACAGAGAAGTTATTGCAAGGAATGGAAAAAAGAGTGGGTGGAGGAGAAAGAGAATTAACTGCTCTAGGAAAAAGTATAATGAACCTCTTGTCTGTTAATTTCCCTAGCAGGGTTCAGTAACTATACTGGTAGCAAATATAGTCATTAACCACAATCTGATTATATCCTTGTTATCCTATATTCAATGTAAATTGCCTACCTCTTGTTTAGTAAAATAAAACTTTCCAAGTACAGATAGTCCTTGTTTAATGAACACTCATACAGTGACTGAAGTTATGACAGCACTAAATGAGAAGACTTATGACCAGTCCTTGTCATAGCAGGCTTGTGGTCACATGATCACGATTCAGATATTCAGCAACTAGCTCACAGTTATGATAGTTGCAGCATTCTGCTATTACTCGATCACCATTTGTACCCTTTGCTATCAGTTTCCAACAAGCAAAGCCATCAGGTCACAAATTGTGATTATGTGACATCATGCTTAACAGTCATGCAGGATTCGCATAACAATGGCGATCTCAACTGTCACAACTGCTGCCATAAGTCATGTGACAATATGTGACATTCTCATTATAACCACACCGCTTAACAATAAGAGTTGCCACTGTTTCAATACTGCTAAGTGAGGACTACCGATACTGCAATTAAATGTAGTCTAATAAGATAAAACATATAGATGACATAGGAAATGGCCCTGAAGGATAGGAAGAACTGCTATCAAGGCAACAACCAGGCAAGCAGGGCCTGAGTCCCTTCCAAGAAATTAGTTTGAGTAAATGTCTCCAGTCCCTCCCTAGATCACACTAATAAAAGCGAAGGCAGGGAGAAGCACATTTAGAACTGCAAGATTGCATTACTATAACTATTATTATAAAAGAAGTTCTAACTTATATAGCATTGGTTTCTTAGTCTGGTCTGACAGAACAATGTAAGATGTGAAATATTTTAAATGCAGACATCACTGCATACTGTGGTATATTATTCTATCCCTTTGAATCTTTTCATGTATATGCCACACAATCTTTTTATCCCATTAGCAGAAGCAGAAATCAGAGAATAATTTAGATATGCAATTCAGAATGCTTTAGTAACTTGGTAAAAGAAAGAAGTGGAATGAGCAGATGAAGAAGGGACATTAAGATTACCAAAGTGCTGACCTTGGACCATCCTTAAATCATTAATCTCAAGAAATAAATCTCACCAAATTCAATGAAAGAATAGGGTCTGGACACCGTTGGCACCTTTTTTCCATGTTGTTCATCAAATTCTGAGTGCAAATCTTCCAGGTATGCAAACGCCAATTTTTTGGGGAAAGCAGCTTCACATAGTATCAGATAACAAACTCCTTTTTCAATTACGTAACTGTAAAAGAAGATATAAGCCAATTGTTAGCCTGAAAGACAAATGAACCCTACATTGGACTATTAATTTCAGTGGCCATATAGCAAACAACATTCCAATCTATATTACAAGACATAAATTATATTTAGCCTTAACTTATACTTATTTCAGACTTCCACTGCATTTTAGACAAGGACAAAGGTGAGGAACTCACACCTATGTTTCATCATGCTTGCCATCTTTAACTTCTTTGTTTTATTGATTTTATTCAATGGGTTACCCTTGAAGATCATTTGGAAGCGTCAACTAGTGCAGAATACGTCAAGTGTCTCTTTGGGGCCCCTAGAGGGGCCCATATTACATCATAGTTCCACGAGCTGCATTGGTCGCTGGTTTGCTTTCAGGCGCATTTCAAAGTGTTGGTTATAAAGCCTATAAAGCCCTACATAGCATGGGTCTAGGTTTCTTGAGAACCATCTCACCCCATGGGAGAGATCTGCCCCACCCATGGTGGCAGAAGAAGCATGCTGTCCACTCATCCATGCTGTTAGCCAAGGAATTCCAGTTGGCAGGGTCCAAGAAAAGAGCAGTCTTGGGTGTGGCCCTGGCCTTTTGGAACATCTTGCCCCCTGAGGTGAGATTGGTTTCCACCCTCCTGACTTTCTGAAAGAGCTTGAAGAGATGCCTCTGTCAGTTGGCTTAGGGGAATATCACACTAGAAGTGGTTGATCAAATAATAGTAACTCCCACTAAAAGATGGGGAGGAAAGGAACAGAACGTAAGGGGGAGACCCTTAGGTTCTGTTANGACATCTTCAAGTTGCCAAGGTTGAGAAACACTGGTCTAGTCCATCCCCTTCCCAAGGGAACAGACCTAATTCCATCCCAAACAAATGACTATCGAATCGTTTCTTGAAGACCTCCAGCGATAGAACAGCTACCATTCCAGGAAGTAAACTGTAAGCTGCTTTATTGGGTTGATCATAAAAATGTAATAAAAATTTAATAGATAATAAGCTGTTCCATTGCCTAATATTTCTTATTGTCAGGAAATTTATCCTTGGTTCCAAGTTGGATCTCTCTTTAACAAGCTTCCATCCGTTATTTCCAGTCTTGCCCTCAGGTTCTTTGGAGAATGACAACCCTCTCATCTCTGAGACTGCTCAAGTACTGAAAGACAACTATCATGTCACCTTTAATCTTATTCTTCATTAGGCTATAGATATACCTAGTTCCCTTAACTGTTCCATGCATGATTTAGCCTCCAGTCCCCTAATCATCTTTGTTATTCTTCTCTGCACTCTTTTCTAGGGCTTCAGCATCTTTTTTTGTATTGTGGTGACCAGAATTGAATGCAGTATTTCAGGTGTGGCTTCATTAGTTCTGCATAGAACAATACAATCATTTCTTGTGATATTAATATTAACCCTCTGTTGATGCAGCCTAGAACTGTGTTGGCTTTTTTAGCAGCTGCTGCCCATGTCTGGTTCATATTTAAGTGATGGCCTATTAGGATATCACAATCCCTCTTCCAGTTACTATTGTTTAGCCAGTTACCACTATAGCTGTGCATTTGCTTCTTCCTACCTAAATGCAGGATCTTGCTTTTCTCTCCACTGAATTTGTTGGCTAGGGCCCTCAATGCTCAAGTCTGCTTCTTTTGAATCATGAGTCTGCCTCACAAGCTGTTGGCAATTCCCCCCATTTTTGGTGTTATCCTTTTGTTCCCTCATCTAGATAATTATTGAAATGGTGAAAAGCAATGGGCCCAATAACAGAATCTTGAGGTACTTTGCTGCATGCTTCCCTCCATATGGATGTAGTTCCATTAAGTTCCAAGGTGGCGCAGTGGTTAAATGCAGCACTGCAGGCTACTTCAGCTGACTGCAGTTCAGCAGTTTGGCTGTTCAAAT